ATGTGTCCAAACTGGACACGCATGGACATCAAGTAAAGAAGCCAGCAAGGAATGCATGTAAACATTGTTGTGGGCCTCAGTGGCAAGATCTAGTTAAAGAAGAACTCCAGGAAATTATTTTATTAACCCTTGCATTGGGGCTAACAATACTAAGTTATACTCAGCCGAAGCTCCTAGCTGGCTTCTTTTTAGACCGGTCCTTCCAATGTCTCTTCCACAGAGGTCTAAGGTCCCGTAAATAATCAACGTCCATACACGGTGTACAGAAATGAGGATGCTGAGGAAGTTTACATTGCTGCAGGGAGGGGGAGTAAGGCTGGGGGACAATAGCTGGTCGGCTCAGAGCTTCGGGTGAGTATATCTTTGTTATTTTAGCAACTAGACACAAATGAGCACTTAATTAAAAAATTCTTGGAATTCTTCTTTAAGAGATTTGGGGTAAAGCTTGGAATACATCTGCTTAGCATGAGGAAACTTTGTTTAAACATTTGCCTATCCTTTAAAGTAAATTTCAATACCAAGCACGGCAAATCTAGAATTGTAGAATTTGTCTTTGCAAATTGTTAAATCTCTGTTTAATAGTATTGCTGTGACCTGATGAACAGTGGATCTATTCAAACTTTGTCCTTTAAAAAAATACTGTTACTGAAATCAATAGATTGTCTCATTTACATATACTTTAGCTGCACTGGAACATTTATGCTTGTTCAGCAAAGCACTGCAGAGGTCATGCAAGCAATTAGACTGGATGCAAGCCCACGGTATCCTTCCCTCCCCACTTAAAATACTACACTACACAATCACGCAGATTACACATTTGCCTAAAAGAGGTTGAAAGAAAAACATATACAACAAATGTAAAACTACCCACCCCACCCCCCTCCATTCCCATTAAACTCCTTATACATGTATTCAACTAAGCTCTCACAGGCAGGGCCCTCCTTACCATTTTGTCTTGACTTGTATTGTAACTGTAATGTCCTCATATTGTAAAGTGCTGCGCAAACTGTTGGCGCTATATAAGTCCTGTATTATAATAATATAACCTCATCCTAGCCGAAACCCACTACCCTTTTTTTTTTTTTACAACTTCCTCATCCAGACCCCATCTGTGTGCTCTTGTGGTTGCACCTATCCTTAAAGAATGGGACTTCACTGCCTATAAACACATACCCTGCAAGCAATGCTTGAAAACCACCTGAAATTGGTAATGCAACAATGCAAAACCATCCTGGTGCAGCAATAAAGGTAAAACGCATGCGGGGAAAATCCCCAAGTTACCACAAAAAGCTACTGTTAGGTGATCAAGCCTTCCTGAGCATGGAGCTGAACCCTAAGTACTCTGTTATTACTGTTCATCTTGGAATTGTAAACAGACAAATGCAGGGATTATCCCAGCAGCAGGCACCTTTCGCTGCTAAGCCATCACCTTCCCCCCATGTTATGAGAGACCAGTTTGCTAATTCTGAAGGCACCATAGAACGCCAAAGAGAATGCCAACTGAAAAAGGGAGACTTCAAATTCCAACTGGCATACCCCAGCAATACACAAAAATAACACTCCAAAATTGTTAACATGACTGAGCCACGCTCATTACACCATCCCTTTAGTACCTGCCACACTAGGAATAATTTTGTGACATCCTCATCTCAATATAGTTTAAACAGAAAAGGCAAGGCTGCCATATACTTGTTGATGGCCGCTGCCGACACCCCATCCCCCTCAGCGTTCGCAAGAACCACAGGAGTAAGTTTATATTGCCCCATCCAACCACACCACTCTACGATTAATACATGAACTCAGACCATCTTCTCTATACCATGGTATATGCTGGCCAAGTAGACCTCACCAGGGAGTTCCTCACCCAGCCTACCACCTGTCAATACAACGTTCCTCAAATGATCATGGGATGGCCTCGTCATCCACCTCCGGGCCAGTTGGTGAAAGTGGTCGCACTGGAATCTAGACAAAGTCTCTTCAACCCCATTTTCTAAGCCTGAGATATGCATAGTTCTAAAGTTAATGTTTCCATGCAGGCAGCCCAAAACTAAATGCCTCAGCAGCTTAACCACCAAAGGGGAAGATGCAGATAGGTTGCTATAGTTAGCACAAATTCACTTCTTTGTTGAAGCTGATGGTCCAGAGCTCCCCAAACCATTGACTCCAGAACAAAAGAGTGAGTTAATCGTCCCATGGAACATCAATTCTTTTAAAACTGCCATGAGCCCCATCCAGAGGCTGATGTTCTTGTGCTTCCAGGAAAGATTCAGTCACACTGACCTCTGCTGTCTGAACTGTTCATTATAGAGCAGTCAAGTGTTGCCCCTAAATACCCTGTGTGCCTCCATGATAGATTCCAGGTAGCAAAAAAGGCCTAAGCATTGTTTTCTGGTGCCCCACCCCCCACTACACTCCCCTTAATCCCAAAGGCTGCAACCAGTTTTGAAAAGTGTAGCGAACCAGTCTGGACCTCCTCCTTCCATCTTCTTCCTTTCTCACTTTTTTTCCCACTTCTCATGCAAGAAACATTCAAGAGGTAGTAAACATATCAATATATTCACAGTTCCCCACCTTCTCTCTCACCTCAGGCTTCAGGTGTGTGCCCAAACACACATATGTACTACTCTTAGTGGAGTCAGAAAAAGGGAGGGGTTTGTCCGTCTCCTTTTCCTTACCTGCCTCTTGAGCGCTCTCCTTTTCTTTCTTTTTGTCCCTATCCTTGACCTCACCTGTAGCTGCCCAATTCTCAACACCCATCCCTGCTGCAGGAGTACCTGAAGCCTCACCCCTTCCCTACCTCCTGGTGTGTATTTGACACTGTACAATTGGTCCAAAAGGGAGCACCTTTCCCACTGAGCCACTAATTACTTCAGACCCACTATCCATTGTAACCCTCTGTCCTCTACGCCCTGTGCAGTGTTCTGCATGACTGAAATGCCCAAGCTGGTCGACTCACCAAAGAGCTGCTGGCATGCAAAAGGTGTTCTAGCTGGCTATACAGCTGAGAAATCAATGTTGATGACTCCCGTTGTGTGGAGGATTCCAATGGACTGGTAGATTTCACTGCATATGCCTCCCATTCAGAGGTTACAGAACTCGATGGCTGGACCTGCAGGGAGGAAAGAAGAGTGGAAACCCCCCACATATCCCCCTGCCTACACTAGACTGGTTCAACATCAAACCATCTTGCCTCTGACCTGCCCTGATAAGTATCGCCCCAGACTGCACTACATGTGGTGGGTTTCCTGCCAAGTTGCTAACCAATCTACCCTTCCACTACCTCACCTGCAGGCAGCAGCATAGTCATCTGAGCAGCAACTACCAGTCCCAGTGCCAACGATGCAATCCGATCAGACATCCCACTAGGAGAGCAAACCGCACTCACACTGCTCTCTTCTTGGTCACTGACAGGTGCTGACAAGTCAAGGTCACTCCCCTGCCCCTGCACATCTGTGGCCAGCAAGGAGTCCTGAAGATCTGTTCCTTTGCCATATCCTGTGTCCTGCCCTACTGACTGGAACCCAGCCTGGGAGAGGAAACTGGGTCCCGTCACCTCTAACTCCCCCCTCCTCTTTGCTTAGCAGCACACTCCTCCTGTTCTCTCTCTTAACTCTGCCTGTGAGGTAGCAGGTTTTGCCAGCAGAAGCAGCTCCAAGCCTCACTGTGCAACATCTCCCTCTGACAGTACTTTCCCCGTCCGGTGGCAACATGGTGCTTGGGCTCTGCCCCCTCCCTTACCAACTGAAGCAGAGTTCAACCTTCTGCTCTGTTCCCTAACGACATCAGGGCTCAGACACTCTGACGGCCTGCTCCTTTTCTTGCAGCCAAATCCAGTAGGAGATGCCTTCGGCCCAATACCCAGTCTGGACCCTGGGCCACCACCTGTTCCAAGATTCTTTGCAGCAGAGTCTCCAAGTCACTGTCCATCCTGGGGCCTAACAGCCTAATCTACCTTGAACTGATTGACTGCCTAAGTATAAGCTGACTTACTCGCTCTTTGCTCTTCCACCACAAAATGGTTCTCTTCCTCACCAAGCTTTAAAGTGACTACCCCCAATCTCCACCCACCAATGCTAACCCACCTATCATTCACTTACCAACCATTTTTACCCTCCTTCTACTCCAAGCAGACCACACCATCTCCTCCCATCCTATTTCCAATACTTACCCTTCCCACAGTTCGGTTTTGATCTGAGCTAGTCATGCCCCTCCTACACCTAGAACTTCAAGGTGGACTAGAATTCAACTCCTAAATGAAACATGTGCACTAGTGCTTCTGATCCTTCCTTTTGAAATTCTTAGCAGCCTGGCTGCCATGCTAACCCAATAAATTCGGTACTTTCTTAGTCACTTACCTAGAACAAGTATGCAAATCAGGAGTTTTAACTTCACTGGCTGCATACATGTTCTAGGTCAGTGACTCAGAAAGTACTCAGGCCAAAGTCTCAGAAAGACAGCAAGCGACAAGGACAGTAATGATTTAATTTAAGGCGACTGTCATTATTTTCATGTAACAAAGACATTCCTGCAAAGCAAGCAATAAATAAATACTTAACTGTCTTGCCGCCTGAACTTTGCTGGGCTAAAATGAAACTTTCTCAATCTTCTGAATTCGACACTTCCAGGAGTGTCAGATATTGCCACACACACACACACACACACATATCGCTGGCAGAAGGAGCCATAACACACAGTGGGGGACGACTAGGCATTTGACAAACCCAGAAGTATGCCAGATGCTAAGGATCTTTCAGTAAGATTATCTGTGCAACCCAAAGGAAATGTGGCACAGGAAGGTATGTGTTATTTGTTTTCTTTCTAGGAATATTGTTTTATTTCACCTATTAAAAATAGTGACAGGGTCATTTTATCTAATCTGACAGCAGTAATCCAGAATCTGATTACAGGTCCCTGTACTATACCCCATTGAGATGTTTATATTATGGCAGTGTACTGTTTTCTTCAGTTAACAATTTTTTTTCTTTTCATTTCTGTTTCAGGGAGAAAATAAAATGTTATCACAGAGTGCCCTACAAAAAGAAAGACAGGCGCAAGCATCAGCCATTATGAAGGAAATCCAAGGATCTGGTACAAACAATTTATACACATTCATGATTGGTTTTTATTAGAAGTCTACTGAATAAGTTGTCTCTGAATGAGTCCGTACACTCTCAGGGTATCAAGCTTTCACTTGGCAGCCAAGCCCTTTGTAGTTGTCTGTTTAGAATCTATTTTCAGATGAACAACTGCTCAAACAGAATGAAGCCGAACAACAGCTGATGGATATTGTAATGGTATTGGCTTTCATCTTTGTGTTTAGTGTTCACCCCATAAACTGTCTTTGTGGTACAGGACCAGTAGGTGACATAATCTAAGTACACATTTCACAGACTGGAAATCTTCAATCTGTGGACAGAATTCAGCCATTGTACCTTGTATTTTCCCTTAGTAGTATTGTCACATCCTGCTTCTAAGGGAAGTAAGTATATATGCCAGAACTTTAGTGGAGCAGAGCCAAAGCTGAAGAGGACAAAATAATGGGTACACAGCAGTACACTTGGGAACACCAAGACATAGATTAATCTCAGGCGTGATTCATTAAGTCAGGGAAAGAATTGGATCAAAGTATAGGGATAGAAAATGCTTGAATGGATGCCGAAAGCAGAATATTACAACAGATCTCTCAAGGAAGGAGATGTGGGCACAGGACTCTTTACACGCTCCAATAACCACTCACAGGCCATCTTTCCTGTGTCAACCAATGATACAACCAGTTATTGTAGACAGTTAAAGATGAACTTTATCCATATCTTTGAAATGACAACAAATACATCTTTAGAAATGTTTACTAATGTCAATCTACAAACACATACTTCTAGATAATGGCAGGCTTTTTATTTTTTGTATACCTTATTTTTCTTTTACTCCCTATTCTTCTCACTGTGGCCATTTTTACTCAGGGCAGATTAATATATCTTCCTTTACCTCCTGGAACTCTTGCACATGTGACTAGGACATGTGACCATGCACATTATCTCAGGGGAGGAAAATGCCTTTCCCTGAGATCACATGAGATTTCGCAGCAATGCTCTGCTGATGCAACCTTCCCAGGATGCAAAGCTTGGGCACAGATTACATTACTAGTGCCCAAGAGGACTAGGAAGTGGAAAAACAATAACTGTGAGTAAAAGAAAAATATGTTTGCTTAACTAATGAATGTAAAATGATTTCAGAGATGGATGCAGAGGTGATTTTTAGTGAAAAAGGGTAAGAGTCAATTTTAAAATCCAAATCCAATCAAAACTTTTGTAAGTATGCATGGTCAGATATTAAGTTGTTGCCGTCTGCCCGTTGTAATGGAATGGACGGATGGCTGAGAGCTCCCAGCGGGTGGACATGTATGTACGTCTTATTTTTCTGCTAGGGGGCGCGCGCGCAAGCAGTACCCTGCAGAAAGTTTTAAACAGCCGGCACCGGTTATTCCATACAAGCGTTTGGGCGGCTCTACAGCCGTCCAATCGCTTGCATGGTGCCAAACATTGTGCACCCCCCTCCACTGCTGCTGCCGGTTATCCTGGGCTTCGCTGTCCCCTGGGTGGGCCCGGGACCAGCACAGCAGCTTCTTATACTAGGAACAGAGGACAGATCAAGATTCTCCACTTGCTGATCTCTCCTCCGTTCTCTGATGGTGGAAGTGATGTGTATTACATCACTCCCGACTTCAGCTGTCATTTTTATGGATGCTATAGCCAGAGAAGAAGCATGGGAAGCAGATCTCTGCTTCATTACCTTCTTTGGGGGTCCCTAGGTGACATTAGGGGACTTAGAGACCCCTGATGTCTCCATAAAAGGCACCAGTCATTGTATATTTGCTATCACATAGGGGGATTCTTAGTCCCCTATGTGATATGAGTGTCAAAGCAAGTGATATGTGATATGAGTGTCAAAGCAAAAGGAGGTGAGGGGGAAATCTGGTAATAAGTGTGTCAGAGGGGATTTCTCTTTACCTTGAAGAGATTTCCTCTCACTTCATATCTAACAGGAAGTGAAGTAAATGTTTCCCAATGGGACACATGACAAAAATACTGACAGCGGTATTAAACATTTCCTACTCTATCTAAAACCAAAAACCTGTTGTTGAGGACATGTTGTTTTAGATACTTCCTGTTTTCCTTGTGTAGTGATTTTCTTGCTTCCTTTTGTGTCTTCCTTGTGTAGTGATTTTCTTGCTTCCTTTTGTGTCTGTCACCTGGGCAGGAAGTAATGGGGACAAAGTTCTAAACCTTTATTCTGTATTAGAAAATGTGTTTTCATTGCATCCCTCTGAGGGGATTTCCTCTAGCATCTTGCTCTGTCTGACACCCAGCAAATTAAAAAGTGATTAGAAATTCTCCACTTGTGTTACCAGGCTGAAGCTGGGCTTTTATTAAAATGTAAACACTTCTAAATTTTTAATTGAAAATGCGTGGTTTAAACTTTCAGTATATATATTGACTTAAAATATGCAGAGTATATAACACATTATAATTTTATTTTTACTTCCACTTGAGTTTAAAAAGTAAGGGAATTCACGAAGCTGCCGAAGCATCTAGCCGTAGCTGCCGAAGCATCTAGCCATAGCTTCGGCCGATCCTTCGGCTAGCTTCGGCCCCAGGACCCCTTCGGTTCAGTAGAACCGAAGGGGTGCTGTACGGGCTATTCACAATAGCCCGTACAGCTCCCGAACGTGGCCGAGCGGCTCAGTCGAGCCGAATGCATATGCATCGGCTCGGCTGAGCCGTGCTGAAAGCCGAAGCTGGCCGAGCGGCCGGCCATTGGCCGGCTGACAGCCTGCTTCTGACAGCTGGGCGGAGCCAGCCATGATCTTACGGCTGGCTCCGGCCACTTGCAGAGAGATCAGCGTCCCTGGTTACCTGCTAACCAGGGACACTGATCTCCAAACATCTAACACTCCCTGGAACCACGGGAGTCTCCTGCTCCCGGCCGCCAAGGAGAGAAACACTGCTGTGTATTTTTTTTCTTTATTCTGACACGGAGCGATGTCAGAGAAACAGCAGTGTTTCTCTCCTGGGCGGCCAGGAGTGGGAGGCTCCCAGAGCGCCCGGGAGAGGTTTTTTTTTTCGTTTTTTTTTTTACGGCAGCAGAGACGCCGGACAATAGGAAACTATTGGGCGGAGCTAGCTGTCACTGCTAGCTCTGCACAATCGTTTTCTATTTACTTTTTTTAAACTTTTTAAACTATTTTTCTGTTCTGCTCGGTCCCTCTGAGGCTCAGAGGCATTCGGCTATTCGCTCACTGCTGAGCATGTTCGGCCGACCAGAAGCCATGTGAAGCAAGCCGATGTACGGCTGATTTCAGCCGATGTACGGCTGAAATCAGCCGTACCAGCCTGAAGTGAATAGCCAAACAGTGTTCGGCTCAATCACTTGGGGTCGGTTGTTCACTCGGCTGCCCTCGGCAGCTTAGTGAATAGACCCGTAAGTCTAGTTGAAACCATTTTCCAGAGAGCTACCACAGAACCAGCCAAGCAGCTGGCACTTGCAAGTGTATTGGCCAGGTAACTGGGGCCTAGTGAGGCAAGCAGTTGACAGGAAATTGGGGTTTAATAGTACATCCTCCTGATGGTTTCCACGCAGTTACCTCTGCCATGGCTTCCTTCGATATTCCGATCTGGATCTTACTGCTCATTAACTTGTACCCATTCCTTCTATGTTGTTTCCTCTAGTTCTTCTACCTCTCCAAATTCCTCTCTCGTGTCCAGGCATGAGCATAAGCACCTGCCTTTATGCCATTAGATACATCATGCCCCTGGCTTTGTCTAAATATATACTCATATCAGTTATTTCTGGTTTGGCCTCCTTTTTAAAGTACAGCTAATTCCACACTCTGGTTCCCCATTGTAGCATTTATTAGCTCATGGCTGATCTTAGATTGACTTTGCTATTGACCCTGCCTGCCCTAGACTCCCCCTAACTCAACTTGCAATGACTTCTCTGAAACTCCTGACTTCACCCTTGCTCTTCTTATCTTATCACTTGGCACCATCCATGCCTGGCTGTATTTGACCCTTGCTAGTTAATCTATTACACTCTGGCACTTTGTTACCCTTCTGCCCAGTCTCTGGAAACTTGGTCTGCTCAATAGCCTTCACCTACTGCTGCTGAATTATAGCTCTATAATCTGCTGCATACATTTCGCATTGGTGTACCAGAGTATGTACATAAAGCAACCCATAGGAGTAACTGCAAAAGATTAACAGGGCTATTCACAAAAGGGTGAAGAGTTTGGAGAAGGCAGGAGAAGTGAACAATCTAGGCCAAAATACCTGATTTGCAAAAATTCTCTAATTCAGATCACTTTCCAGTTCAGCTATGTTGTCCTAGATTGTACACGTTTCCTGCCTTGTCCAAACTCTTCATCCTTTTGTGAATAGACCTGTAAGACTTTTGGAGCAGTGTTTATTGAACTGGATCAAGTTTCGGTATATTTTAGCAGTTTTTGGCATTGTAAAACTAACTAGTAGCCTAGTAGTAAGATTTACCCACCAGAGAGTCTGTCCTGCACTCTTACCTGCAGCCACAATCATGTTTTCTCAACTCAGTTCAGGCCAAACCATGTAGCCAGTCTATCTAGTCATCCACAGAAATGAATGTACTGAATTTGCCTTGCATTTGAAACCTGCTTCAAATGCAAATGATTCACTTTTTATTGATATTTTGTTTATCTGGATGACCATTAAGGTGCTATGTTTGACCTGCTTTGCATTTCATTGTCAGCAGGATGTTCTGAGTTTTGTCCCAAAGACCAAAATGTCATGCTAACTAAGCGCAAAGTTTTATCTATGTTTTGTGCCTTTTTTGAACTCTTCTTGCAACATATTTATGTTTGCTACTCACTGCACATGTTTTTGCAACATTTCACATAATTTCTCAGCTACACAGTAACTACATCCATTGCGACATTGAACACCCTCCAAACTGTCGCACATTCTAGAAGTCCTCCTGAGCACTTCTTAAAGTATTGCAATGCAAAGATAACTCAGCTTCATTGAGGTTCTCTTCAAGCTTGCTACAGTTTAGAGACAGGA